CAGACAGTCCCATGCACCACAGTGTAGATTGGAGTCATTCCACAAAGGGAGTCTCGGATCCTCACTGCAATGGAGTTCTGATGAAACACTGTGTGATGGCAGCCTAGAAATTAAACTTTGGGGTGATTGTGTTTTAAGATACGGGGGGTGACTTTTACCTGTTTGCTAGAAGATTTCTGTGAAGGCTTAAGTTACTGCAAGCAGTCTTTTAGAATGCATTTGTGATAGGACAATGCCAAAATGTCAAACAGAGCAAAAGCCATGTTTTCTGTTTTGTTTTGTTTTTAACAAGGTTGCCAAGTAAATGTGTTCCCCTTGCCCTTCACATGTGTAAGAGTTTACACTTTGAACTGTGGCAATGAAATCCTCTGCTCCTAGAAAATCTTTAGTTGGCATTCTACATATTGTTCATTCTACATATTTGCTTTATTTTCTGTAAAATTTGTAATGTGATGTGTGTACATACACACTCACACACACACACCCCAGAATCTCAGCCACAAACAATGAACTCATGACATTTTCAGGAAAATGGTTGGAACTGAAAATCACTATTAAACAAAATAAGCTAGGCTTAGAAAGACAAACACCATGTTTTGTTTCAAATGTAGACTCTAGCTTTAAGTGTGTGTGTGTGTGTGTGTGTGTACATCATTAACCTAGACAGGAGTTCATTAGAGGGTATAAAGAGACTTTAAGGAAGAGGGGAGGGAGGAAAAGAGGGGAATAGAATATCTGAGACTTGAAGGCGGAAGGGGGCACCATTTGAGGGGGGAAGAGACCAGTAAGGGGGCAATGAAGTTGGGAGAACAGCGGGAATGGAGAAAAACTGGAGGAAATTATAATGGCGCATTTGTACTAAAACTCTACAAAAATCCATTAATTTGTATGCTAAATTAAAGGTGTAGAATAATCAAGTCAAATGTGGTCTAAACTTATTTTTGAGACGTGGTAGTGTAACCATGAAGTCAGCAGGGGGCGCCACAAACACCTCCTTTGCTGTGTGAGGACAAGCTTGATGTTGGGTGGGGTCTAACTTTATCTCTGTGGCATCACTGTGGAAAGCATTCGTGATTTTGTGTGCTCACATTATTAACTAGGCCTCCTAGGTAGATTTAAATTTTTATTTTTGTTTTAATTTTGTATTTTAGAAAAGGAATCTGATTATCAATGAACCTGGGCTAGAAACGGTCCATAGTGGGACATCACTTTCAGTTCTTATGAACTATCTTCTAGGAAAGCTACATCCTCCACCACCCCATAGCCTTGGCTAACAGGACCATCGCAATACCCTGGCTTTAGGGAAAAGCTTTGTTCTCTTTCAAAACTGATTCTTACTTTATTCAGACAAAACTGGGTGCTGATATCCTAGCTTATTATGTATGTGTCTGTTTATGTCTATATATTTGCTATTACAGTTGGCTGTTTATTGCTTTAGGAAGTGAAGATTGTTTGACTATCCACAATTCAAGAAAAACAAAATCCTTAAGATGTGTCCAGACCATTTATACCATAACTTCACAGTCTGAAGCAAGGCCACACTCCACGGCACTCAGTAACCCCAATCAAAGGCAACCATGGTCAGGGGCTAGGCTTGTAGGAAACCGGCTGACTACACTACTCATTTGTCCCTTTGACATCTTTCAGCCTCAATACTCAGCTTTGATAAAGAAACTGTCTTCTATCTGAGTTTAGAGTTTCTGAAATGCATTCTTTGGGATTCTTTAGCATAGCACCGCAGAGTGATTGGCTAAGATTGCATCTGTGGTCAGAGCCTCTACCTACTGGGTGCCCAGAAAAGAGCTCCGCCCCCAGCAGCAGAGTTATAGCTGCTGGTCTCCACTGTGGCGAGGTAGTCCCCTCCCCACACACTGTATTGATCATCATTGCTGCTTAGATCACTTTAACCCACGCCCCCACTGTCTGAGTAGGTGACGGCAAAATGTTCTTACGTTACATTTTAGGAATCATCTTGATTTGTTGTTGTTGATTTGGACATATTTAAAGTGGACTTAGACATTTTTAAAATGTGTATGGCTGTTTTGCCTGCATTTGTGAAAGTGCATCATATCCTGGGTTCCCTTGGAGGCCAGAGAGGGCATGGGAATCTCCTGTTTTAGATGTTTGTGGGCCACTCACTGTGTGGGTTCTGGGGATCAAACCCAAGTCCTCTCAAGGAGCAACCAGTGTTCTTAGACACTAAGTCATCGCTCCAGCCCTAAAATGTTTTTGCATTTATGCGTTTGTATTTTGACATTTAATTTGTATTAGCCACACTGTTCCCATATTGAATGCATTTCAACCTTATTTTGTCATTTCATCGCTTTCACTTTTAGCAAGGAAAACACAGAAGAAAAATCTGACCTAAAATCTTCATGTATGAAAAAGTCTGCTTCCCTTTCTGGTTTGCAATTAAAATATTAAAGATAAGAAAATACATTACCTTTCTCTCCTGGAACAACCAAAGTGGAGGGAGTACGGTCTGTGACTTCAGGATATTGTTATTTAATCTTCGGGAAGGCTCATTTTCTCCCACCTGTATGATGGGAACAGTATTCAGGTCTGTCACAACTGAAATCATTAAACGCATGAGAGGGTAAAAATTGCCCAATGTGCAAAGAGCAAGTCATCAATCAAAACTATGACAGGCAGACACAGTCAGACAGACAGTGTGGAACTTCAGTGTTTTGTAAGCTATACATATTTGGTTAATTTAGTTACATCACTTTTGACTATAACAGGTGCCGAAGTGCCCTGCCCTAAGGATATTACTTTGTTGGCATTTTAAAATGTTCAGCTTTAAACACCTTTTTAAAGTCTATGACAACGGAAAAGACAATTTTAGAAAAAGTCGTCGAGCCTCAAGCTATGCATGGTCAAATAACCTTGTGGAGGTTTGGGCATCAGACTCAATGAATTTACACAGGATCCTGACGGGCTCCAGGAGCTCATGTGAGCCTCTGCAGGCAGAAGTGGGCCACCTGACCAGAGCCAGGGCAGCCAATCATGACAGAGTGTGGCTGCCACACCCACCTGCCCACCACTTGTCCCTTGGAGAGGAGCCAGTCTGTCTGCTTTTGCTACCAAGCTGCATTCTGTGTTAGCTCTTCCTGGAAATTCCTGTGCCTGGTGACAATGCAAAGTGACAATGCAGAACAGTATAAACCAGGTTCACACTTACCAGCAGCGTGTGTGTGTGTGTGTGTGTGTGTGTGTGTGTGTGTGTGTGTGTGTCTCCAATTCTGCAGTGCTTTTCGTGGTTGGTAAGCGAGAGAGATTGTTTTGAAAATGCATTCGAAAGCTTGCAGTTTTCTGAAAGTTACAGGCAGAGATACAGGTGGGTTGGAAGCCCTATCGAATCACGTTTATATTTGAAAGCAGGCTGTGTGGCTACTGTAGATAAAGCAGTAGGTATTTCTGCACTTCTGTCTCTCTGTCTTTTACTCCACTGCCACATTTTAAAATTAGAGTTTCCTGTGTACTTCTCTTGGAGGTTAGCCACAGTCTGTTTATGCACCCTGGCGTATCTTCTGCTGTTTCCAAAGCTGTTCAGTGGAGTTTCACTCTTGCCAGCTGCCAGGATTCACGGCATGCTTTGGAGCTGGTAGTGAATGTGGGTGACACGCTGTTTAAGGATGGCGATGCAAGATGAGATGCTGAGACATGGGGAGGGACAGAACTCATGCTCAGCTTTTAGTTTCTAGTTTTGAGAAAACTTAAAAGGTGGGCCCATATCAAAGTTTATGGTGTGTGTGCACGTGCGTGCGTGCGTGCATGCGTGTGTGTGTGTGTGTGTGTGTGTGTGTGAGAGAGAGAGAGAGAGAGAGAGAGAGAGAGAGAGAGAGAGAGAAAGAGAGAGAGAGAGAATGTGTTGTAATGGAGAGACGACCATATTAAAAATATCAATATCAGTAAAGAAAGCTAGTTGAAGGTTCTGATATTCTGAGGTAACTTCTCAGCATTAACGTGAGGTGTTTAATGTTTACTTTCTTTCTAGCCAAAAGACATCGTCTGCATTTAAAAAGATACACGTATTCCAACTTTTTGGGGCAGACAGGCATAGTGTAAGATGTGATTTTATTTTACTTCTCATTCTACATACATGTCCTAATCCACTTTGCAAAGGCTCAGTGTTCACCCATGTGCATCTAAAAAGTTGTGCAGCGACAATCATAATGGAATTCAGAATATTTCTATTCCCCCCACCCTTGCCCCCCAAACCCCCATCCCCTCACCCCAGCGCTCCATATCCCTTCACCCCTGGCCATCACTAATCTATTTCCTGTCTTTGTATGTTTGGAATGATGCAATGCGTGTCTTTTGGAATGGCCTCTTCCACTGAGAATCCAGTATAGCTTACAATATTTGACCATGACCTTCTGCCTCTGAAGATAAATATTATTCTTAGGTTTCTTGTTGAATTAGAAACTAGAGTACAATTTGCATAAGGCAAAAATTAGAAACTAGTTAACGCAAGTGGGACTGTTCTTCTAGCACAGAAGGAAATCCATATTGCCAACGATAAAAAAGCAGGCTGTGAAGGCACCAGGCACCGAACAGTGTACATCATAAGGTCCCTTTGGCTCGGGGGTTGGGGGGCAAGGGTACTGTGGAAAGGAACTCTTAGGTTTAGCAAAGAGGAGCCATCAACGGGAGAAGCAATCAAAGCGTTGGACAGCTGTCTTGTAAGAGCAAAATTTCCTCCACTCGGAAAACTGAGCATTGAAAAGTAACCTAAATCAGTGTAAATCCCTCCTCTGCGTCTCTACAGGGGTCCCTGGGGGGCAGGTTCCTCAGGGTAGGCAAAGCGGAGCTTAAACCGCAAGCAAGCTTTCCCTCCTGCCCTTTCCCCCTCTTCTTGCTGGCACCGTTGAGCCTCGCTACAGTTTGCTCAAATATTTGGAAGCGAATTTAGAGTCCTCCCCCCAACTTGTGATTTTATAGCCAATAGGTGATGAGGCTTATTTGCATATTTCCAGTCACTTAAGCAGCAGAGGAGTGGAAACCGTCAGACTCGATTCCTCCTCCTTCTCCGAGGAATTCTGCCCCTTCCCGCTGCCCTGCCCTCCCCCCTTTAAAGGTTGACTTGCCCTGCGGCGCTCTACGGCGCTCCAGCCCTCTGGCGCCTCCTGCTCAACCCCTGGCTACGCGGATCTGCTCCAGCCCGCCCGCTCGCCCGCGCCGCGCCGCGCACTTCCCGCAGCAAAGCAGAAGGACGCTCCGGGAGATGGAGAGCAAAGCCCTGCTCCTGGTGGTGCTGGGAGTGTGGCTCCAGACTTTGACCGCCTCCCTTGGAGGGGTGGCTGCAGCTGACGGTACGTTCTGAGCGCCGACTTGCCTCCACCTGCAGACCCGATCGGAACCACTTCCTCTCCATCTAAAGATGGGAAGAAGAAAGTTGGAAGCGGCTCGCACTGGGACTCCCGGGCGCATCAGAGAAAGGGAGTCCCGGGAAGGGTGGCTGGAGCGGAATTCAGTGGGAGCAAGGAGAGACTCAGCCTTTGATCACTCTGGGGCGACTCCGGGTTCCCGCTTTTTCTCTTCTGTCTCTCCCGGTTTCCCGCTCTGTCCCTTGCTCTCTCCCGCCGCGGGCCATAGCAGGGAAGGGCAGGGAGTGTGACCCAAGGGATGGGGGAGACATGGAGGTCGGGCGGTGTAGTAGTGACGAGTTGTAACTCATAGGGAGTGGGAGTGCTGAATGCAAAGTACAGAGACCGAGGTGACTCTAACTTGGCTGGGACCGCGGGTCAGACACATCAGAAGGCGGGAAGGGTGAGCTGAGTGTGGCTTCATCAGGGATGGGGGTGGGAGGACGCGTTGTCTGCACAGGGCATTGTCGCTCCTCTCCGCTCAGGGCTAGAGCAGGGGGTGGGAGTGCAGTGCGCGGTGGCACAGAGGAGCGCGTGGCGCAGAGTCCTGGAACCCACGTCCTGCACGCGTTCCTGAGCCGGGGAGCTATCCACTCTCCTCGCTCTTGCGCTCCGCTTAGCTCAGTACCCAAGAAAGCCCTGCAAAGGGATGATCCTCCAGAAAACGTGGCTCAGCCACCATCACTCTGGGGCCTCTGGCTTGAGGGTTGCCAGTTCAGCACTCTACCCTTTCGGTCCTCCCAGGAAAGGCTCGCCCGCCCGAGAAGAGGTGCTCTTCTAGCTTAAGAGAACGAGTGGTTTTCTAGCATCCAGGGAGGTGTCAGTCACAAAGACGGTAACCTACAGGGCTCTGCCTGCTCTCTCTGCCTAGAGAAGACGACTAGGGTCAGTTGCGAGTTTCTTTATGGCCTTGCAGTAGAGACCTGCCCACAACTGAGAAGCCTTGTAACTTGAACCTTGGTTGAGCTAACAGAGTCGAGACTCAAAATGTAACTGAACCCAGTCATAAAAGGAGGCTGGTGTTTCCTTGTGTTGCTGTGGCTGGTGGAATCGCCATGAGGGTGGTGTCCCCTGGAGGTGCTCTAAGGTGGCAAGTCCGCAGCCCAATTCCAGTCTTAGTCGAGTCTGAGACTGCAGCTAAAAGCGAGCTTCATTTCTTGCACATAGTTGTAAATGTCTTTGCTGAGTTATCAGAGAAGAGAGAATCCATCCTGGGAGAATTGCGAGGAAGATAAGATTCTCAGGTGTCTGAGGACACAAAGATTGTGCCTTTCCTGGGTCAGATTGTCTTTCTGCATAGTTTGCAACTCTGGCTAATTCATATTCCAAAAAGCACATTACAGTATAAAACTGCTTTTAACGTAAGCGCTCCCATGGTCGTTCACATCTTCAAGTTTTGCTAAGATTTTCTTATAAGCTCGGAACCCAACTTCTCAGGCACTTCGTGTGTGTCACCCTTGTGGGGTTTGCTGCATGGGTTCTAACATTAGAAAAGCTGGCAATACTCAAGGTGCCCCGAGGTCCCAATCATGCACTTCAATTTAAATGGACACCTAAGTAATTGCGTAATAATTTTGGATTTTAGCCAACACCTGATTTTCCTATCAACAAAATGTGTTAGGGAATATCATGCTGAAGCGGATGTAAAATTATTCTCTCTGATCATGCTTCTGTTCTTCTACCAGCCCTATACAGTGTGCTGCTTCTATCACAGCACCTTCTAGTCCTTTCTCCCACAAACGAATTCTCCTAGGGGAAAGACTGTGGGAAAGGCACGGCTTGGAGTGACCCCAGCTTCCCTTTGGGCTTTGAGTTTCCTTGATCGCTCTTGATTTTTTTTTTTCTGCGAACAGTGTCCTTGCCCTGGAGTGCCTTCTTCCTGGAGCCTCTGCAGCCCCTTCTGGCCCCAGTCCTGAAAGTAGAGAGCTAAGAGAGGGAGCTGAGAGGGCCCTGCTCCGTGCTGTCCTGTTCCACAGGACACAGTGCTTGCTTGCCGGTTAATATTGGAGTTAAATAACTGGGAAATGACAGCAACCGCGATGCCAGTGGGAGAGAACTTGACAGGGGAGTGATTGATTAATAGCTGCATTGAAAGGTGGGGGGAGTCACGTGGGGGAGAGTCGCGATGGAGAGACATTGGGTTTCTTTCGCGGGTGTATTTTTAGCACAGCTTCCCTTTGCTGCTGCATTGTAGAGGAGACTGTTACACTCAGTTGACTGCTCCTGTTTTGTCAGGTTGCCCCACATGCCATCTTGTCCCTTTTCCTCTGACAATGACCTGTTTCCACATCGTTATCACAAAGGTTGCATCTTTTTTGTTTGCAGGGTTTTCTATGCATAGCTTTGGCTGTCTGTCCTGGAATTCATTCAGTAACCCAGTCTGGTCTCGAACTCATAGAGGCCCTTAGGATCCTGGGGTTAAAAGAATGTGCCACCATTGCTCTGCTGGCTGCATCCTTTTGTCTAGGAAAATGTTCTGGCCATCACAATGGTGGCTGGTGATGACTTTGGGTCTAATACTGTGAAGAGCAGTTCAATATAAGCATCATTATTTTGCAAGTCAGGAAATGTCACTTGAATATTTTAACAATTCTCACTGTCTCTTTGCGTATGTAGATTTTGTAACCTGATAGGAATTTGTCACAAGATGCCCTTGCCACATCCACTCTCTGGAAAGTTGAAGCCTTACCAGTTTCTAAAGGAGTAAAATTGTAGCTTGCTCTGAAACTAAGAGTTTGAAATTTGAAACTGAAAAAATACCCTCTCCCTTCTGCCCCCTCCCATCTACCCCTGAAAAAAACCCACCCTCCATGTTGAGCAGAGAGTGGCTTCACACAACTGCCCAAGGACATGTGAGAGCGTCAGTTTGTGTGGTGCAGCATCATGTTAGTGCTAGGAAGTGGTAACGTGGAATAAATGGATGTTGACTAGGATGGCAGGAGAGGGTTATGTAGCGTGAACATGCGGAAAGTTCACACTATGTCTGTGCCAGCTTCTTCTTCCTGCTCTTTCTACTCTGTTCGCCCACACTGACTGAACTGCATCCTAGCTGTAACACCAATTTTGACCTTTGAATGAGTAAAGATGTCCTCCCTGCTAACTGGCTCAATGGGCAAAGCCACTCTGGGTCTAATCCAGTGGTGTTCGTGGCACCCACTTGGTGTGTGTGTTCCTGAGAAGTCTGTTCTGTACAACCCTACTCTGACCCAAGTTCATTTAATCTTGGTATAGACTTTACAGCAGCTTTTGAAGAGCATAAAGAGTCAGGTTCTTGAAGGGGGTAGGGAGTCAAGACTGTGAGTTCAGTCCTTCTCTATACCGGATAGGGTTATCTTGAAATCAATAATTTCCTTCTGGGAAAAAATATTTATAAAATTAATCATGATGAGAAAAGCCCAGTCAGAACTTCTATTTCATTTTTTTCATCTTCTATTTCAACAAATTAGTATAAAGCTTTTATGTGCAGATATTTCTAATTGTATTTTTCCATTTTGTTTATTTATTATTTATTTTTACCACCTGACAACTGTTTCTCCTCCTTCCCCTCCCCTTGGTCTCTCCCCTCACTTCTCTTCTGCCCCTCCCCCATCCATTCCTTCTCCATTTCTATTCAGAGAAGGGCCGGCCTCCCTTGGATATGAGCCAAGTATGGCATATCAAGTTGAAGGCTGGATGAGGCCGCCCGGTATGAGGAGAAGGGTCCCAAAAGCCAGCACAAGAGTGAGAGACAGCCCCTGCTGTTAGGAGTTCCACCAGAAGACCAAGTTACACAACTGTAACATGTGCTGATGCTTAATTCAGACATGTCAGGGTGGTCCTGATTGTCAGGGTAGTATTAATGTACTAGATGCCTCTGCCTCTCTCCTTCTTTCTTTCTCTTCTTCCTCACCCCCCTCCTCCATGTCCTCTCCTCTTCCTTTTTCTAAAGTGGCCTTAATTCCCCAAGGAACCTAGTAACAGTCAGCATAGTTGGAGGAATGCAGAATCACTGATAACATTTGCTAGTTTCCTTAGCAACAGTCACCTCAGATTAGCTCAAACTCATCTGCCACTCCAGTAGTCAGCCCAGATTAGCTCAGACTCATCTGCCACTCCAGTAGTCAGCCCAGGGTGCACCTTGGTGATGAATACTTAGGAACCATGCCTGGGGTCTGTCTTCTTACCTGTCTCCATGCTCTTCTCAGCGGATGCTGCAGGGACCACAGAGGTTAGGAGAGCACATTGTCTTTAGGATACTGAGACACTATTAAAGGACAGCAAACACTAGAATATGAAAAATTCCTACCGATTAGATGAGGCAGCTGAAAGATGTGACTTTATATCTAGCATATGAAGAACTGAAACTATCGCAGAGTTCATTAAGCAGCATCTTTTTGTGAAAACTTCACACACACAGATACACACACACACAGATACACACACACAGATACACACCACAGACACACACACACACACACATACACACACACAAATCCTTCCCATTACAAGTAAAATGAAAGTTCCCATGTGCAAATCTATGTGATGGTGTATGAATTCCTGCTGTTCGTTTGTTTGTTTCTCAATCAGCAATGGGTCCAGTGGATATGCTGGTTGCAGGGAATCCAACCTGAGCCTTGGATATGGATCTTGGCTTTAAACAGATTTTGTTTTTGTGGAAATATACAAAGTCAACCTTAATAATTTCAGAGAATACCCATGACCATTTCAAAGTCAGCAACAACACAGGTCCACTAAACTGCCTAGTTCTAGATAAAGGGGCGCACAGACAGCGGCATTTCCGGAGCTGTTCAGGCAATCTTCTGGCGTGGCAATGCAGAGATGAACAGTGACGGAGCTCATGTGCTGGACCGTTCAGCTGCTGATGCTTGAAAAGCACTGAGGATCAGGCTGATAGATGGGTTAGCAGATTAAGAGCATCCTCTAAGCCTGACAGCCTGGGTTTGATCCCCCGAACCCCCCACAGTGGAAGGAGAGAATGACTCAAACAAATTGTTCTCTAACCTGCACACAAGTGTTGAACTATGCATACGTGTGACATGCACTGGATATATACATAAATGTAATAAAACTGATATAAAAGACTGGTAATAAAGACAGACTGTTAGAGAGGAGGATGAACTACTAGAGGCGGAGAGAAGGGGAACCAAGTGAGGCTTTTATATTTTCTAAAACACTGTCTAAAAATAAAGTAACTTCTTGGGCAGCGTCAGATTAATTAGGTTAAACACAAGTGATATTCTTTTGTACCAATTGGTAAGGTTAACAGTGTTTTCTGGCTTGGGAGGAAGAATGTCTTATCACCAAAGAAGATGAGAGCTTGCACAAATTCTTCATGGCAGGATGGACTCAGTGAGTTATTAAGAGCTTTGAAGATCAGGAGTTTAGCAGTCCCTTAGTTGGATAAAGGCTTTGAGAGTGGTTAACAACTATTGTGAAACTCATTTCTTTCTAGCAAATATAATCATTAAGAAATATCTGCTGTGTGTTAGGTAGTAGAGATTTGGTGTGGGTGTGCACGTGTATGGTTGAGTTACTGCTGATAATGAATCACTCAGCAGCTAACCACAGCATTTAAAAATAATCTCTAAAAGGGAAATGCTTGCCAGTCCTCGGATAATTACACGACGAGCCCAATTTCAGTGCCTGCACTGCCACTCAAGTGCATTCTTGTTTTCCGTCTTGGCTTGACTTTTGAAATGCCAGTTTGAAATTCAAGGTTTCCAATTTTGAGTTATAAAGAAGAAACAGATTTAGATTGAGACATGGGTAGTTTCTTAAAGATCTCAATTGTTCATTTCCTGAAAAATTTAAAGAGAAACATTCAAATTTTATAATTTTTTTTTTTTTTTGGTTTTTACGAGGCAGGGTTTCTCTGTATTGTTTTGGAGGCTGTCGGTCCAGCCTGGCCTCGAACTCACAGAGATCCGCCTGGCTCTGCCTCCCAAGTGCTGGGATTAAAGGCGTGTGCCACCACCGCCTGGCCAAATTTTATAAATTTTTAATAGTAAGTAGGTGGGATGTGTCTACATTTTGACCAAGAAGCAAATATTTTTCTGTAAGTCCTTTGTGGCCTGTTTCCTGAAAAGGGTCTTGTATTAGCAACATAGCAATTTTTACTTTCTATAATAATCACAAAGATGTATCAGCATTTAGATATGTGTCAATATATCAAAGGCTAGGCTTATCATCTCTCCTTATCCAGTTTAAGAATACTGTGAAGAATTAAAAGTTCCTTTATAGCCAGATTCACTGTGATTTTACTTTATTTATTTTGGTTTTCAGAGTCAGGGTTTCTTTGTGTAGCCCTGGTTGTCCTGGAACTCACTCTGTAGACCAGGCTGGTCTTGAACTCAGAAATCCACCTGTCTTTGCCTCCCAAGGGCTAGGATTAAAGGTGTGCATCACCAGAGCCCAGGTCAGATTTATTGTAATTTTAAAGATTTGACTTTGTGTGCAAGATTCTAAAGACTAAAGAAGAGGAAAGCTACTTAGAGAATGTATTGACCATGGCTCACATATGCCCTGCTGTCTTTGAACATCCCACTCTCTCAAAATGGCTTGAGACAGCACAAGTTGTCATTAGGAGGGGAAAGGCTTCCTTGGGCTCTCAACTTTTCTTCTTTTAAAATTCTGATGGGGCGTTCCTTTCTTCAAATTGGTCTAATTGTGTTATGTGTTTTGGGTTCTGGGTTCAAATGAGTCTAAAAGTTGTTATGGTTGTGTTATAATCAGATACTTAGAGAAATTATAATAACTCCCAACATAATGAGAACCATTCCACACACAAGACCTATGGGGCAGTGCCCTCCAGGAGCATGAGCTTAAACTGGGAGAACTCCTGGGTGCTAGTCCACCCTCTCTGTCCCATCCTGGCCAAGTCACTTGAGACAACATGAAATCAGGAGTTTCCACATAGTAGTTCACTTGTGTGAATTAAGCACACATCTACACCTTCCCTAGCTGGAAGTGGGCTGGAAGGAAGGTTGGCAGTCACAGATTGCTTAACTAACAATGAAGGTCATCTCTGTCCACTCTGTCAGCACTGGGACATCAGTCATTCTCTTGCAATCCACATTCTCTTTTAAAAGTATTTTTTGTGTGTGTGTGTGTGTGTGCATGTGGTGAGTGTATGTCTGCATGTTCGCAGATGCACACATGTACGTGTGAATATGGAGGCTGCAGGTTGATGGCGGGTGTCTTTCTTGATCACCCTTCTGCCTTCTTTCTTTGAGGCAAGGTCTTATAACCAAGCCCAGAGCTCACCGATACGGCTATACTGCAGCTGGCTCTGAAGTCCTCCCTCTGCCTTGGGAGGCTGCAATGCCAGAAGGTTACCACTCCCGCCTGGCATTTACGTGGGTTCTGGAATTCTGGACTTGTGTCTTCATGCTTGCACAGACCCATATTCATTTTTTGAGAACATATTTTAGAAAAGCCAAGGGTGGTGTTGGCATTGGTTGCTTGTGAATCTAAAGCCTGTAAGACCCAAGTAAAACCAAGTAACCCTGCCAGTTAACCTCTCCAACTTCCTTTCTGTAGGAGGAAGAGATTTTACAGACATTGAAAGTAAATTTGCCCTAAGGACCCCTGAGGACACAGTTGAGGACACTTGCCACCTCATCCCTGGAGTAGCAGAATCTGTATCTAACTGCCACTTCAACCACAGCAGCAAGACCTTCGTTGTGATCCATGGCTGGACGGTAAGAGGCGGGTTAAGGTCAAGCAGATCCCAGCTATAGGAGGCCTGTCTGCTTTCTGGGTAGACTTGAATAGATACAGTCTTGGTTCAAGGTAGGCCCTACAGCCCCAGGTTCATGAACTCTTCCCCTGGCTGGCACCCACCTCTTTGACACAGTACCTGGTTGGTGTGCTTGAATCCTACATCTGTGGAGGTGCGAGAGGGACGTTCCACTCAACACAAGATGTTACTGTTTCAGGGAGCCAGAGGAAGCCTAGTATGATCCTGATATACACAGGATGAGAGTAGGAGGAAGCCAGAGCAGAGAGCTGTTCAGGTGCCTCTTACCCAATCTCCAGCTCTGTGATGTGATCAAATCATTTATTTGTCTTGCAAGCACAGGACCTGAGTTCTATTCCACCACTTAAAACATAAATGCCCAAAAAGCAGGGCCTAGAGACATACTCGTAATTTCAGGGAGGCAGAGACAGAGAGATCTGTGGGGCTCACTGGCACGTCAGCCTAGCTACTCGGTGAACTCCAGATTCCCATCTCAAAAAGCAAGGGACAGCTTCTGAGGACAGTACCCTCAGGCTGTGCCACATGCAACCGCACAGACCCATGCACGCACATAAGAAAGATAGGAAGAAAAGTACAAGCTATGGTTAAAGCTACTTATTTAAAATATTCGTAAATACCCTCCCAAATATGCCAAATAGTTGCTTTACATGGCGCTTTTCTTGTGTAAATATTTTAATTTACTTTCTACAATTTTCAATTTCTAGTGAGCAGGTTGCATTATTTATTAAAAATAATTTATATGAAATAGATGGTTAAAGATATGTCATCTTTCATTTATATACAACCATTGAATGCTATAGCTGGATACTGAATTCCAGTGAGAAGAATTAGGTGAAAATTATGTACATCCAAACAAGCTATCTTGTCCCACATACTGAAGTGATCTCTTTATTGAAACCATAGGCAAATGCTGTAATTTCCGTGCCTATGTCAGCAACAGGACTCATACAGATGTATTTCTTTTAAGATACCCATTTACTAGTGTACATAGTGTACACAGTATATAGCATACCCAGAAGCTTGAGCTCAGTGAGCACATGGGAAGCAACTGTGTGTATCAAGGCCTGAGCATCTCAGCCTCACCCTGAAAGAACTTGGTGCTTTAGGAAGTTGCAGCAGGGTGAGGGGGTATCCCTCTCTTGCTAAGATGACATGACTCATGCAGTATCCAAACACAGTGTCAGATGCTGCCACTGGACCTGCTCCCTCACCAAACGCACCTGTGCTCTTCAGGTCACATGACCTGGTGTTTTGAGTGCTAGGCTCAGGCTAGACTGCTGGCCAAACAGCCTCTTCCCCTATCACACAGGCTTGCCATGTCTGGAACTGCAATAAAGCCAGCTGATCCTGGCTTATCTAAGCAAACACAGGCTGGGTTCAGAGTGGGCTCTGGTTCACAGACTTGTCTGTCAAAGGCTTGTAAGTAGAAAAACCTAGAAACAAGACCTTTCCTGAGTAGAAGACAGTTCTTAGCTTCCTCAACCCCTTTTGTTTCTTTCATTTATATTTTATGTTGAATCAAAAAAGAAGGGATTAGATTAGTTGCTACTGAGTTAACAGAGGAACCCAACAGTATGGTAAGTTGGTCACCTGCCCTTTGCCAGACGGCTTGGCTTGGAAACCCTGATAGAGAAAAGGTACAACAGAACCTAGAACAAACAGCTTGCCAGAGATAAGCTTCCAGGTCACTCAAGGGCACAGACTCAGGGAAGTCAAGACCCTCTCTGTCCCATGAGGAGAACTGCCTGCTCCCTCTGAAGCTTTGGATGTGTTGGCTCTCACCGTGGGGTTGGAAGCTCCTAGGCAGTTCAGTTAGCATCGCATTCTGAAGAAAGGCCACTGTTTTCTCATGGCCTTGCAGTCAGGAAGGGAGGTGAGCCTGGACTGGAAGCTTCTGCCGGAGGCGTGTTCAAAGAGGCTTAACCAGGTTCCGAGTGGGCCGACATCATCGCCTTTGCCACTTTTCTTCTTTATTTTCCCTCCTTGCCTAAAACAGAAGTGGAGCTGACCCCGTGTCGTCGAGGAGATGGGGAACCAGACTAGTCCCAAGTGGAAATGTATGAGGGAGCTTTGGGCCATGCTGGGACAGCCCTGTAGAGCAGGGCTGAAGTTAGTTTACAGAACTGATTAGTAGGAGAGGTAGAACTACAATCCATATCTCTTGGGCTGGCCTGGCCCCGGCACAGGGCACAGAAACTAGGTGAAAAGTTGTGTAGCTTGTCTAGGGCACAGAGTGAAGCGAGGTTCATGTGCGGTTATTTTCATCTAGTAAATGCATAAACAAGAAAAACAGGAGTTGAAGAGAACTCACCTCATGAGTGTAAAACTCCAAGTGCAGCCAGGAGATTTGGGAACCCAAAGTTCCCATTTCTTTGATGGTTTTGCAGGTCCTCATTAGGTTTCCTTAAACACATTTGTCATGATATTCTAAGTAAGTGACAGACTTTACTGTGGCTGCAGCATCATGACCTGACCCTAAAATCCTTAGCAAACCATTCTTTATAAGGAAAGCATTGCATTTGCCTCCCTTAAAGATGGCTTCCGTTCTTATTTTCCAGTGTTGAATGTTGAGCCTTGGGCATTTTCAGTGTGCAATGGCCCCTGCCGTCTTTCCCCTTTGCTTTTGAGACGGTCTCACTACGTCCCCCAGTGCTGACTTTGAAATCATTGTGTAAGTGAGGCTGGTTGTGAACTTACCTTTGCTTTACTCTCCAGAGGTGCTAGAACTATAGACATGCCTGACAGGCCTGGCCTCTCAGTTGCCTCTTCTGGGAAGTATGTCCTCAACTTAGTTGAAAGTAATTAAACAACATTTCTTTTCTAAAAGCATGTAATTTGGCTATAAACATTTAGCACATTGACCATGACTTTTTTTTAATAGTGCAAATTGTTGATGCCTAACAGATAAAACTGTTTTTAAAGCAAGTTAATTCCCAGCCTGCTGTTGCTGAGGTCAGCACACGCCCTGGTCTACTTATATTTGCCCTGGAAGGGGGAGGAACAGGGAAGAATTAGAGAACACCTTGAGGTCTGAGTTTTAGGCTGAATCAATGGGCTTCTGTGCAAGTCTGTATCCCTCATTTCATGTTGTAATATTTATATTGAAATACAGTTAGGAGAAATCATGTATTATCCTTTTCAGGTGACAGGAATGTATGAGAGTTGGGTGCCCAAACTTGTGGCTGCCCTGTACAAGAGAGAGCCCGACTCCAACGTCATCGTGGTGGATTGGCTGTATCGGGCCCAGCAACACTATCCAGTGTCTGCTGGATACACCAAGCTGGTGGGAAATGATGTGGCCAGGTTCATCAACTGGATGGAGGTAAGAGTGGGAAAGGGAGCCTTCTGTGCTTAGGAGAAAACTCCTGGCGAGAACCAGGAACTAGCTAAACAGGGGGCTGGGTTTTCCCCCCTTTCACCAAGATCTGAGGTGTTTTCTGAAGCATTTCAAATTTTCAGAAGGGTATTTTTATTTGTTGTCAAGAATGACTAGATTATGCAGCCAATAAATGATCCTACCCTGCCTGGCCTTTGACATTCCAGGCATAGATCTGCTGGTACTAAGGACCATGTGGGTAGCGTAAACAAAAGCATGCTGTGTTAGGACAGAGGGAAGGTGGGGTGTTCAGCCACCTCTTTCCCCACCAGCTGGCTGTCATGGGCATTCCATCTTGGCTTTGACTCTTGTTAGAACACCAACCGCTAAGAAAATTGTTAATAGTGTTTAGCTCTTAGAGAAGATAAGGGATCCTGATGGTTGCGGAGACTCAATAGTCACCCTCCTGGTTTGGGACAGAGAAGAACTGGAGCAGGGAGACGGGGGGGGGGACACACAGCTAAGCGTTCAGAATTGGAGCTGCCTGTAGATTTCACCCACCTCCTTCTCTTAGGGGCCATGCTCTGGAAGTTAACACCCAATGTTTTCTTTTGAGGGGGGTTAAAGAGAAGCTAATCTCTGACAGGGCCAAGTAATTTAAAACAGGGAATTCTATTCAAAAAATATACTTTAATCGTCAAAACCCAAAATCCATTTCTTCGCTCTTTAGCTAGTCACACAGATGAACTCGAAAGGTCACTGCTTTGGGCCCAGGCTTCTCATTTGTTGTCTAGTTTTCTATTGACGTGATAAAACATCATGACCAAGGCCACTTAGAAAACCAAGCATTTAACTTGGGGGCTCAGGGTTGCAGAGGGTTAGAGTATTTAGCCACCATGGTTGCCAGTGTGGTGCTCACATCCTGAGACACAGTCACCATGCAGTTAGAAACACTGGGAGGGGTGTCGGCTTTTGAAACTTCACAGCCCACTCCCAGTGACACCTCCTCCAAGAAGGCCACACCTCCTAATCCTTCCCAGATAGTTCCCCCAGCTGGCGACCACGCATTCACATACACGAACCCATGGAGGTCGCTGGCAATCAAACCACCACAGCCGTTGATGCAGCAAGCTGAGGCATACGTGCCTGTGATGTCTTCCCTTCTCCTGTGGTGTGCTGTAGTCGCTGCTTCAGGGAATACCAGACTGCAGCATATCGGGACAAGCAGACAATGTGCAAAAGTTTATATGTACACTTATGTGGTACATATGCATCTACTCTGTATACATATTTATTTGTATATATAAATAATACACTTTTAGATGTCTGGAAAAAATTCCTAGTTTCAACCTGTCATTAAAGAAAAAAAAAATCTCAACACCATAGAATATTTGTCCCTTTGAACTATAACACTAAATCAGTCAAACTAACTTACTAACTTGTAGTATTGCCAGCATTTTAAAACCAATATTCATTTTCACCTTTATTACTTTTAGTTTTGATGTTTGGCTGAGAGCTACATCAAGACTCTTTTCATTTCTTCTCCCCCAGGAAGAGTTTAACTACCCCCTGGACAATGTCCACCTCTTGGGGTACAGCCTTGGAGCCCACGCTGCTGGTGTGGCAGGAAGTCTGACCAACAAGAAGGTTAACAGAATCACTGGTAAGCAGCATGTTTGTTCACTTAGCGCAAGTGTGACTCTCACTCTGAAAGAGAATCAGAGTTACTTTCATTAGGTATCCACAAGTGTGGTGTTGGGGCTTGCCCTCAGTCTTCATCATTCTCTGAAAGAGAATCAGAGTTACTTTCATTAGGTACCCACAAGTGTGGTGTTGGGGCTTGCGTTCAGTCTTCATCATCTCTTGTCTCAGAGTTAGCTTTCCATCCACGGGCCATGGCATAGGAGCAGATAACAGCATTAAGGACAGAGGCCTGCACTTTCCAAGAAAGGGTTCTTTCCTTCCTCTGCTCCAGCTGAGCTAACAGACTGCGTCTATGCCATCCCCTGTCACATCAGTGCCAGGGAGACTGACAAGGACTGATTCTGGAGAGCATCTGGAACAAGACTGTCATCTAGGAAGTGGCTATAAATGGCTTGGTATAGAAAGAGAGAAAAAAGAATCGATGAAGGATTAAAGGTCTTCTCAGACTCATAAATAATAACCTACGAGAAGAAATCAGGCCATTAGGTGTGAACAATCATTGTGGACTGCTCAGCTTAAAAGATGCACGTTAGGCCTGCTGGTGCATGCCTGTAATACTAACACTAAGGATGGGGAGGTAGGAAGTTCAAGGCCATTGTCAGCTACATTGTGTTTTTAAAGCCATCCTAGTAACAGGAGCATCTGGAGAAAGGTGGGGGTAGGGGGAGCTCAAATATGCAGACTCCAGTAGTGCTACATTCTGTAATCACAGCATTATGGAACTTTAGGCAGGAGGATCAAGAGTTTGAGGCTAGCCTGAGACAGTGAGCCAGCAAGGGAGTGAATGAGCAAGATTCCATTTTAGAAGAGCTATGCCTACCTTTTTGACTCTTAGTCACTGAAAGATTCAACTCCTCAGACAAAGAGCTGGTAAGAATTCAAGAGACCTCCAATTATATTCAAATGAGCAGGATGCTGACTTAACGACTAAACTTACTGCAGACTTTAAAATTGATGGCACCTTTTCTTTCCCACCGAGGCTTGGATCCAGCTGGGCCTAACTTTGAGTATGCAGAGGCCCCCAGTCGCCTTTCTCCCGATGATGCAGATTTCGTCGATGTCTTACATACATTCACCAGAGGGTCACCTGGCCGAAGTATTGGGATCCAGAAACCAGTAGGACATGTTGACATTTACCCAAATGGAGGCACTTTCCAGCCAGGATGCAACATTGGGGAAGCCATTCGTGTGATTGCAGAGAGGGGTCTGGGAGGTGAGTAAAGCAGAAGTCACTTACGTGTGCGTTTTGAGGCTTGGGGCTCAATGACACTGTGTCCTGGTCACTGCCTCCATAGTGTGTGGCTGCATACACACTGTGACGAGGAAAGGTAGCTCAGTGGGTAAAGCCCTTGCCATGCAACAGTGATGTTAGGAGGCAGGCAGAAGAATCTCCAGATCCTTGCAGGCCAGCTAGCCCGGGTGCACAGTGACCAGCAAGAGACCTTGTCCCAAACAAAGCGAAAGGCAAGGACCAAGGACCTCTCTCTGCTATTAGTTTAGCAATTATATCCTTTATGAGGTGGTTTCTAAAACTGCTTTTAGAAGCATCTAGACATGGTAGACATTTTCAATAAAGCAGAGGTTGTGTTAATCAGGAGGCAATCAACTTCTGCCTCAAGTGTCATCTATTATGGCATAATAAATATTCATAAATGTAAGATGGCAAGAGTTGAAAGTTCCTCATCAACCCTTAACTGTCAACTTGACAGTTATGGAGGGAGATGAGGAGCTACCACCAAGAACACATCCTAAAAGAGAGCCTGGTACCAAGTACATCCCAGTGCAAGGCAGTTTCTGGAGAACTGCTGTTTCCCACGTCTCTTTGTGCAGATGTGGACCAGCTGGTGAAATGCTCCCATGAGCGCTCCATCCATCTCTTCATTGACTCCCTGCTGAACGAAGAAAACCCCAGCAAGGCTTACAGGTGCAACTCTAAGGAAGCCTTTGAGAAAGGGCTCTGCCTGAGTTGCAGAAAGAATCGATGCAACAACGTGGGCTATGAGATTAACAAGGTCAGAGCCAAAAGGAGCAGCAAGATGTACCTGAAGACTCGCTCTCAGATGCCCTACAAAGGTAAGCAGGAAGCTGTGGGAAGGAGGGGAAATTGGTTAGTGCCTTCTCTCTTATCATGGGCTGATTCTGTCTATTGGAGTAGAGTTAATGAAGTGATGTTACTAAGTCCTGAACCGTCACTTGTGCCTCTGTTAATACAGAGGGATTTTCACTTGTCTATTTCATTTAGTTCTTGCTTCCCATACCGGCAAGACCCCAGTGCTCAAGCTTGAGTTTGCAGCCAACCTTTTATGTAGCTACGAGCAGTACTGGGTTTAGAGCTAATTTGAAACCATCACCTTGGGAATATAAACCCTAGTCCTTTGGCTCAATTCAGTCTATCACTTGCTTTTGTAAATAAAGTTTTATTAGAACATGGTCAGACACATTCCTTTCCATATTATCTAACACTGCCTTCCTGTCACAAAAGCAAACTCAAGTAATTGAGACAAAGCCCACAGAGCCCACAAAGACTAATTACTCTCTGGAACGTCACAGAATATTTGTTAAAAATTTGCTTTACATGAAGCCAAGAACCACCAATACTCAAGTATTCCACGCATTAGGACTACTATTTCTGTGATGAAACGCCATGGTCAAAGCAACTTGGGGAGGAAAGGTTTTATTTGGCTTAGCCTTCCATATCACTATTTAACATCAAAGACAGTCAGGACAGGAACCCAAACAGGGCTAGATCTGATGCAGAGGCCAGGAGTGGCTTTTTAATGGCCTGCTCACAATGGCTTGCTCGTTTTGCTTTCTTATAGAACCCAGGCTTCTAGCCCAGGGGTGACAGCACCTACAATGGACTTGGCCCTCCCCATCAACCATTAATTTAAAAAATGCCCTACAACCTAATTTTATGGAGGAATTTTCTCAATGGATACTCCCCTCTCAGATGACTATAGATTCTGTCAAGTTGACATAAAATTAGCCAGCACACTAGGGAAGCAAGAATGTCATATATTCATCTTGACACAAACTCAATTCCAACCTTAACTTAAAAGCTTGGCCTCTTGTTTAAAACAGGACTTAAAGATATATGGGGGAAATGAGGAAGAAGGTGGTGTTGTAAAATATATCTGGTGACGGGGACTGATTTTGAATAAATTGCCCTTGGTAGGGTCCAGGTGGAAGCCTAAAGAATGGTCACTTACTAAAGAATAGTTTCCTCAGACAAAACATCTTCACCGGCAGTGCTTGGCAGATGTGCAAGGAGGCCCAGATGTTGGAGCATGTGTTATTCAAAGAAATCTTGTAGGCTATGTGAGAACTCTCATTTACTCCAACTCTAGAACCAGGTGCAAGGTATGGAGGAGTCCACACTCTAAAGACTCTAAAGACAGGGGTGGGCCTACACAGGGTCACCCAGTGTTTATTCTGTCTGGATTTCCTAGAGACACTTGGACAAAACCACCTTTAGCCTCTCCTGCTGTGACCTACAGTACTGCCTTAGCCACACGATGATTTCTCTTTACTTTTGAGTAGTCGGGTTTGGTTGTTTTTGGTTTTCTGTTTTTGCTTATCTAGCTACTTATTTTAATTATTAAATGAGCTATAAGGTTAGCATAGTTGTGCACGCCTATATGTCTGTAATCCCAGCCCTTAGGAGATAGAGGCTTAGGAATTCAAGGTCATCTTCAACCATACAGTAACTTTTAGGCCAGTTTGGCTACATGAGATCTTGCCGTAAAGCACGCGCGCGCACACACACACACACACACACACACACACACACACACACACACACACACACTATCACTTAAAATAAAACAAACAGTGAAACTAAATAAAGGTTGTCACAAGAAATCACAACAAAATGTACTGAAATGTTTTTCAGGAATATGCATATCCAAAGTAACATCTAAATTCAATTTTGCCACACTCCATGCCTTTAGAGTTAAGGATGTTAGATCCCAGCTTAACAGAAATTGCATTTAATAGACAGCAGTATAATAAAATATGCATAAAATCTTGGGTTGCAGGAGACAAGCATCAGAATGACCCCCATTCTAGTCACAGTAGCTATGTTTCAGGCTCACGGTTTTGGTGGATAAGTGGAGAAGAACCAGGAAGAGACCAGGAAGTACAAGTTGCTGCTTCCAGACACACTTCCTAAGTCAGGACAGTTTGGGACCTGGCTTTGTAAGTCGGACCTCCAGGCTTTGTGCTGGTTCATAGGAATTCACTGTATTGTGTGTGCCTCACGCCTCCCTCTGCAGAACAGAATAGGGAGGTTAACAATGAACCACAAAATGTGAAGAAGCAGGGGGCAGGGCCATACACAGTAATAAAGCAGCAAATACCAAATGAGCTTGGTACAGATGTAGAAATATAAGGTGGCCAAGGCAAGTGGAGGTTGCAAAGAGTCTTCAGGATGTGTTTAGCTATTAACTTGATTTCCCTGGTAGTCCCTTCCAGGTTGGCAATTCACATACACTGAGAATCACATAAGGTCTACACTTCCAAGCCACTTGGATAGTCCAATGTGTGCACTTCTTGTTTGGGTTCTCCAAAGACATTTGTTCTATGGGTCTGAATTGCTTGATTGTTTGGGGACTGTGATGTTTTTCCATGAAGACTGATATTCCTGTCTTTGTCCCAATGTTCTCTCCTCTACAGTCTTCCACTACCAAGTCAAAATTCACTTTTCTGGGACTGAGAGTGACAAGCAGTTCAACCAGGCCTTTGAGATTTCTCTGTATGGCACAGTGGCCGAGAGTGAGAACATCCCCTTCACTCTGTGAGTAGCTCTGGGCATACCTCCGGTCTATACCAAGGTCACAGTCTTGTTCCTTGCCAGAGCCCTTGATTTGGGAAACAGAATACATCACCACCCCCTCCCCAAAAGAAACTCCAGTCTGAGAAGTCAGATTTATCTGGGTGTGGTGGAGCAAGCCTTGAGATCCCAGCACCCAGGAGGCAGAGGCAGATGGATCTCTGTGAGTTCAAGGCTAGCCTGGTCTACATAGTGAGTTAGTGAGTTTCAGAACAGCCAAGGCTATATAGAAACTTTGTCTCAAAATACTGAAAGAGAGAGAGAGAGAGAGAGAGAGAGAGAGAGAGAGAAATTAAAATTTAAAAATGGAGATCATGCACCATTTCATAAGAGAAAATACTGTATTCTGATCTCTGTTTTATTTTTGTTCATTCTCTACTTCATGTTTTCTTCCAATAATTCAGATAAAAAAAGAATCAGTGACAAAATAGGCAAGTTCTCCCCAAAAGAGTTGATATTGTGAAGCAAGGATGTACCTGGGAGGTGGTTCACTTACCAAACATGTGTATGTGGTCCCAGAGTCACCAAGAAAGAAAGAAAAATAAAGGAAGAAAGAATAATTGTAACAGGAAGCTAGTCTACAACATAGACAAATGGATGGATAGATAGAAAGATAGACAGACAGACAGACCGATGTTATAGGTAAAACACCCACGACAAAGTATTACTCCTTAGTTTTTTTGTTTATTTGTTTTGTTTTTTGCTTTTGTTTTTTTCAAGGCAGGGTTTCTCTGTGTAGCTTTGTAGACCAGGCTAGCCTCGAACTCACAGAGAGCTGCCTGCCTCTGCCTCCAGAGTACTGGGATTAAAGGTGTGTGCCACATTTTCTAAAATGCAGTGATTGAAGTGATTGGGCAGGACACACATATACTAGTTTTATTGTTGGTTGCTGGAACTTTCCTCACTACAAGGAAGGCAGTAAGGCAATAATCTTCTATAATTATAGTTTCAAGGATTAGGATGGCTTCTTTTACAATGTATCCTGAAAAAAGTACTCAATAGAATATTTTTTTAATTTAAGGGTAGCATATTTATTATCACAGAACACATAAAACCATAAATTGAGTATTAACATTAAGTCAAAGGTCATGTGAGTTATGGTTCATAATGTCAGTAAAATCAATATAGCCTCTAAAAATTAGAATTCTTGAAAAAGTAAGTAAAGTATCATGAAACTAGATAGAGCCAAGTAGAGGACTGAATATGTACTTTGTCATTAAGTGAACATATGTTCGCACATGTATAAGTTAAAAAGAAATACATGGAAATCAAATTGGCTAGTGGACATTGTTCTCTTAAGAGCTATACTAAATAGTTGATAGTGTTAGGAGGAATTCTGGAACACAGGAAAGGAGTGTGGGATCCAAGGATAGGCCAAACGCTGCTGACATTCACCGTGGCCATGTTTTGCATTTTTAAAGTATCAACCAAACAATAAAATTATTTACAGTCTAGGGAGGAGGAAAGGCTGACTTCTAAAAGTAACCAAGCTTGTGGGATTTTCACTCAGGCCTGAGGTGTCCACAAACAAAACCTACTCCTTCCTGATTTATACGGAGGTGGACATCGGAGAGCTTCTGATGATGAAGCTCAGGTGGAAGAGCGACTCCTACTTCAGCTGGTCGGACTGGTGGAGCAGCCCCGGCTTCATCATCGAGAAGATCCGGGTGAAAGCGGGAGAGACTCAGAAAAAGTAATTGACCGGAACGTTCCCCACACACTTTGCACAGCTTCCTGTCATCAGCTAGGGGGAAACCTTCTCCAGTCCCATGCAACCGGGTTAATTATTCCAGAAATGATTCAGGAATATTCTTTCATGACTTCACAGAGGAAGGAGTACAGATTGCACACCAATGATTCTTGAGACTGGAGAGGTTTGGACTTGGGTTTTTTCAGATCTTGGAGTAGTTGCATATATATATATATAATGAGATACCTTGGAGATGGCACCAGCCTGTGTTTCACATTGGTCTTGTACATAGTCTGAAGGAAATTTGTTCATTTTCAGTGACTGTGCATTTTGACTACAGTGTACCACACGAGGTCAGGTGTGGGATTCCCCACTTGGTATTGAAAAAGCCTTAGATTTTGGAATATTTGACGATTTTTGGATTTGGGATGCTCAGCCTGTAATATTGTGTATTTCAAGTAAGGAGCATACACTGAATTGACTGAGGTTGTTTGGAATGAGAGCTGGGACCAGAGGTAGGCAGTCTCAGGACCATCTAGCATTATTGCTCCCAAGCACAAAATAGTTACAAGACGTGAAACAAATCTTAGAGGGCTAAAAGTAACTCTTGAAGAAGCAGGAGATTCCCAGCCCCACTCCACACTCATCTATAAAGTGATTGGCATAAAGAGCCCCATAGAATGGAAATCTTCACACACATGTTTAGGGATTTTGCAGGCATGCCATTGATAGAAACAACTTGAAGCAGAATGCAGAAGTTAATTTTATTTTGTTTGTTTGTTTGTTTACTTTTATACAAAAACTTTTAAGACTTGCTATGGATAGAAAATCTCTGCAGAGCCTTTGTTCCCAAAGCAGTTGAAGGCTGATGCCCTAATTCTCTGACAGCAATGCTAAGAGGTGATTCTGTAACTCTTCTACTGGTCACTCCATCTGAGTGAGACGTGACTCCAGTGACACACTGTGCTATGGGAAATGGTACTGCGGTTAGCTAATGTGATCACATAGGATGCCAATGGTCTTGACAAAAGGCCCATTTTGAACAGTTGTTCCTATCGTAACATCTACTCTCTTCCACAGGGTCATCTTCTGTGCTCGGGAGAAAGTGTCTCATCTGCAGAAGGGAAAAGACCCCGCAGTGTTTGTGAAGTGCCATGACAAGTCTCTGAAGAAGTCTGGCTGGTGAGCGTCTTGACCCACAGCCCTCTAAGCATCCTCTTAAAGTGGCCTCTGCCCAGCTCTTCATCCTGCAGCTCTTGTGGTCCCTGTCTTAGCCCTCAGTTCTTACCTTACGCTCACTTGATTTTAACACCTTAATACTCTTTTTTTTCTTTCTCACTTTGATGACCTTCATCTCAGATAGACAAGTTCGATTTTACATTACCTCTAAAACTACCCACAAGTCTTCGCTTCTGCATTTCTCACTACTGCAAGTCTGTTAGCTGCATAGATGACGTCTAAAGTAGGGACCGTGTGAGTGTGGGTTCAGCTCCTCCCAGGGTATATCCAGGGACAAAAGTGTCTCATATCAGCTGTAAGCACAGAATGGCATCCTCAACATAGACCCTAGGACATAGGACCACAGGGGAGACCTACACTGTGTCAAAACCTCAAAGATGGGAGAAAGTGGAGTAAGAGCACAGGAAACTGTTCTCCTATCTCAAAACAGCTGCTGGCTTGTCCTGCATGACCTCTAGGGCTAATCCACATGGCAGCTGGCAGCAGACTCTTTCCAGCACGTCAATGCTAAGTGGAGACCAGGCATGTGACCTTCCATCTCCTCTCCCAAGTTCTGGGATGTGCTGTTTTCATCCCGCCCCTCGCTCCCCTGCCAGATTCCAAGTGCTAATGGGTTACACCTATTAAAGGAAGAATATTAGATGGTGCCTCAAAGATAGCAACACAGAAGCAACCACAAAGGCTGGCCACAGAGTCACCGGGAAATAGCAAAGCATTTGCTTTCGCTTTATCCTGATTCCTAGATTATTATAGACAGAAGTACTGACTAAAGAGTGCCTCTTCCGAAAAAAAAATACTAAAAACCATATGTGAAGAACCTCCTTTACAATGTCTGCTTACACATAATTTATATATGCTTACTATGGATAGATGAGGAAAAACAGACAAAAACAAAGGAAATCAATAAGGCCTTATCGGTAACATTTGACATGTGTTTAGCAATTTGATTTATATCCTTTTTTTGTTATATATACATTATGTCTGTATTTTTTTCATATCACAAACATAGAACTGTGGCAATGAATGAAAAAGAGAGGTCATGTGGATAGCAAACCTTACAATGAATTTCATGGAGAATAGTTACCAGTATTAAGCTAGCAAAATGACTCTTAACTAAGGGAAATTTCCACTAAACCTTACGTGCTTTGCCACTTACAAATCGTGGATCCAAGGCAACTTCATACTTGCCTCCACTCTAAAAATGGAGGCTCCGGGATACAAATTTAGATTCACACATGAATACAATTATATACACCTATCTCCTGCCAACCATCAGTAACTTTCAGTACATATGTGAATGTAAACATGAAGTCTTCTTTAATAAATATAAATCCAAAAACTGAAGAAATAACCTCATCTGTTCATAAAACATTCTGGTCAGATAATTTATAAGGAAGGTCTAATGATGTACCTTTCACCTAGTCACAGGATTTCTAAACAACAAATACATAGGCAGTCATTTCTAGCAATGCACTTTAAATTTAGGAGATCATTGTGAGTCAGACGTTAATACTTTCCCGGGGTTTCAGCTCACAGACTCTCAGTCTACCATGTCCCGTTAACTCTTCAAAAGGGTCACACTCCAAGAAAAGAATGAAGCAAGCTTTTCATTATATCTATAGCCTAAGGGAAGTTTTGTGACAAGATCCAGTCTTCTGAAGATGATGCTCAAACAAGTAGCCCATCTATGTACCCACCAGGTGTGTCTACTGCTCCAGGGGACCACTGCCTTCCCAGGTCTATCACCTGCACCTCACAAGCTTTGCTCTGAACGTCTCTTGGACACTTCTTCATCATGACAGTAGTGGGGGGGGGGGGGTAAAGGGTTTGGAAAGGGCAAAGGAGATGCTAAATTGTCTTTCTTCTGTTTGTCCTCAGATACTAAGCAAACCAACAGGAGGAGAAAGCACATGAGTTCTTTGAAGACTGAAGTAAATGAAGTAAATTTTATAAAAAAGAAAAAAAAAATACCCTTGTTTGGGTGTTTGAAAGTGGGTTTTCCTGAGTATTAATCCCAGTTCTATCTTGTTAGTTAAATTAGAAGACAGGTTCAGATACTAAAACGTGCCTAATACAAGGTGAGGAGTCTCGTGGCCAATAGCGTGTCTTTCCGCATCAGAGGACAGCAGATAGGAGAAGCATGATGCCTTTTGTCCCATAAGAAGGAATCGTATGTTCCCAATAAACAAGACTCCTTCCTGTGACCCAATTGGTCATGGTGGGAAAATTAGTGAGAGTAAGGGCCTCTTATTTTGTTAGAATTCTGAGGCTTTAAACTGAGACCTTTTCAAAGTTTTCTCCAAGTCTAATATAGATAACGTTTTTTTGTGGCATGAGTCAGATGCATTTCTTTAGCAGTTGAAATACCTGGCCTTTGTAACTAGTTCTTTTCACCATTGTGATAAAGCCCCCCCAAAAGGTAACCAGGGATGTATGACTTAGCAAAAGCAATGGAGGCCAGAGCTCATGAAGTCCTGAGCCTTGGTTCCACCATGACAAAGTACAAATCAACAGAGATACGGAACTAGATTGAGTAATTCTAAATAGACTTAAATTTTTACAGCTTAATCCCTCCATCTTTTAAAAGTTTGTCTTACAAAATACGCTTATAATTCAGGTGACAAAATTGAAATGAAGGAAAATAACGCCTAGTCTGATTTTACTTTTATTTTTTTCTTTTTTGAGAAGTCTCATTTTTTTCACTCTGTAGCCACGCCTGACCCAGAACTCAGCTACTTTGTTCAGGCTTGCCTTGAACTCTCAGTGATCCTCCTGCTTTAGCTTTCTGAGTGCTGGGATTAGTAGCATGAGCCATACCTGGCCTGATACCATAATTTTATCATCAGATTTTCCTATCTGTTTTCATCAACTTGAACACATTCAATAGCCAATATCAGCATTTAGCTTGAGACTCTTCTCAGCCATGCCTCTGTCACACTCTAACATCACATCCATTTCTAGTTTAGATGTGATCAAGTTCAATTTCTGCAACCTGCAATGTACAAAGTTTAGACCATGACCATTGTACCACATAAAAGTTGAAATTACTGGGAAATAGACTCGTCGATGCTTATTAATTGTAGTGTGCACAGAAGAGGATCATCAGCTGTGATAGCCACGGGAAGTACAAACTAATCAAGAGTGAGTTAACAATTATTTATGAACTGGATCTTCTATTTTCAGAATATTTTTACTATATATTAATATAAAGCGATAAAGAAGTCCTATGCCAGAGGCTATTGCTGCAAACGCAAACTGTGAAACTGTGGGTGTCTGGACACCTACCCACAGACAAAGCCCCACAAGTATATTTGTCATTTAATGTCATTCGGAAAGGGAAAGGAGTCAAGGGGTGTGCTGGGGAATGTCAGAGAAGTAGTTTCGGGTATGTTGGAATGTTAGCCCTTGCTAGGAGAAGGGTGGTTGTGCCTATGTGATATAGGACAAAAGTGACTGATTTCATCAGGCTTCGAGTCAATTCTAACAATAAAATGATGTGCAATTTGTCACTGGGCATCCCCTTTATTGAAAATTCATTGACTTTGTACATTTGGGCTTGGATCAAGGGTTCACACATTTAAAAAGATCCAGCCAAGCTGTGCGTAGCACTGAACATTCTGGCTTCTAAAGATATACATATATATATATATATATATATGTATCTCAATGATGCTTTGGCTTTACATTTTATTTATTAGCTGTAAATATATGTGTGTGTGTGTAAGAGAACTTGTAAACACGGGAAAGGCTGTTGTGGCTACCTGCAGTGTAGATTCGTGGTGCTAACTTTGTGTCCGTCTCCATCACTGATGGTCTGTCTCACGGAGCTAGCTTACTCTGGTGAACGAGTACAATGAAATAGGCTTTTAAAAGAGGAAAAGAAATTCACCTATGTGGAGAAATGGAATATGCTTTTAATAAAACTGACAACATTTTATCATGATATTAAGTCATCATTTTGTATCATTTTAGCCCTTCTAGAGTCTAGGCAAATTAGATTTATTCTTAGGGCAGATTCAGTCAGCAAAATTTTACTGAGTAACTACAGTATTTGCTAAGTCATAGAAGTCATGTAAATTTCCAATTAGAGGTGTGCCTGATCATCTACTAAAATCAGATGAATCAAATTAATCTGAGCTCCTCTCTCCTATGACAGTGCACGTGTCCAGCCTTCCCAGTAAGTTATTGCCACACTGTGGATACCAAGAAATTCATCACATCCTCAGTCTTTCTTTTATTCTCACATTGCTCCCCATCTCTGCTCCCCATAGATCGGACTCTCCATCTGTGGACTAAGCACATATGCAGATACACAGAACAGTGGGACAGTGTAGGAATCAGTTTCCAGAGCTGCTACAATGATTGCTAACACTCGATATTAACCACCTCGCATCGTCTCTCCCTCAAAGATCTGTGTGACCAAGAGCATGCTGGAAAAGCCGTGTCATCTCATTCTAAACCTCAGACTAGTTATTAACAGCTCCATTGGGGTCCCTCTTTCATGTTGACTCTGTCTTGGTGCACTCTAGAAAGGACCACGAGGTGCCAACTGAAACTCAGAACTCACCCTGAGCATGAGTCATTGGAAGTAGCTCCTTCACATCCAGTCAAGCTTCATGAGCAGAAGCTGGTGACCAACAGCTTAGTTATAGCCTCAAGTGAGACCCTGACCCACCCCAACACTCCCTGATTTTTAGCACACTGTGAATGAATGTTTTCACCTGTTAACTTTGGTGCTAGTTTTTGTGTAGCCATTAATGACTAAAGCCCATAGTTAGATTTATCTGGTTAATTGTAAGTCAAACAGTTACAAGTCCATATTTTGAAAGAACCAGGGAAACGTATGCTTTGAAGGTTATAATTGTTTCTATACCCTTCATTTAGCATTCTGCAAAACAAGAATTGTCAGCATTACAGGTTTCATTAGTACAGAATACAGAGTTTATTAAGAGTTAAGTTGAATACTCTCAAGGGGTGGGAGTAGACAGTAGGAAAAGATACCATGCTGTGTTATAAACTGTTTTGGAGGGGTGGAACTAAAAACAGACCAAGTATTGACACTAGAAACCCAACTTAAACCAATGAGTTTAATGTAATTACCTGCAGGAGTATGGGTGAGGGTTTACTTGCAGGAGCTTGGATGACTCAAAGGCAGCTACCTCACAAAAAAATTTCCAATATAGCTGACAACTCATCAAGGCTGCAACCCTGAGATGCCAAATGACACATAGACAGCTTCTCAGGTTGGAGAGTCTCTCCTTATCAGTCCTTACTGCTCAGACTCGCCTTGGGGAAGAGGCCTTGCAACTCTGCTAAGTTTCAGGGTTCTCTTGAGCCTTGTGAGATTGTACTTCCCGAATCTTAAGACCCCTTTCTTTAGATTCTTGAGTCATATCGAGTCTCCCTCCAGAATGGAATGTTCCATTTCGAAGGGAATTGCTATACAACAGAGCATTGCCATAATGTTTTTACTACAGTTTTCACAGGGCAGGGTTGTTTATGAAGACATTCTTAAATCAACTGAGATTAGGGGCTAAGAATAGCCAAATGAACTCATGTTCCTTCTTCCCACAGCATTCCCATCCAGAAAACTGCTTCCACACACAAACTCTCATGAAATTCTTATGGTTTGGGAATTCCATGACTGTTAGTTGGCCTGCTTCCAACTGCCCTTCCAGTAGCATAATTGTAAGTTGGTGGGTGGTCTTTTTTTCTAGCATTGAGGACTTGAGTGTCCTTCAGCACAGGGGTTAAAGAGTGGAGTCTTTAAGGTGGAGTCTTCCTGGGATGTACTAAGGTCTAGGTGAAAGGACAGAAAAGCCAGCTGGCATTGTGTCCCAAGTGCTAGCCAAGCTTACTGAAAGCCTCCCCAAGGACTAGCCATTACACTGTGAGTGATAAATAAGGTGTGCCATTTAGCCTAGATGACTCAGCACTATGAACATTCTAGAGAAAGACATTTGAATTCTCTCCCTAGAAGCCTGGAGGATGTTGCACAGGAAAGGGGCAGTGGTAAGAGATTGCCTTCTAACTCACTGCACTGCAGATGGGTTTCCTTTGTGATACACATTTGTATATAACTCCACAGGACTGCTGCCAGGTTTCCAGACAAACCACAGCATACGTCCCTTGGCAAGTGTGGTGAGTCCCGCACCAATTTCTAGCCAAGTGTTCCTCCCAGGATGTAGAAGCCTTTACTGTTTGTTTGCACAGCTATGCAGTTGTTGGCAGTATATTATTTTCCTCTTTCGTCCTTCTATATATTTCCCTTGGTGTTGCTGATCAAGCTTGAGTCCTTGTGTAATTTAGACAAACATCTACCACAGTCACAATGCTCCCCATTTTTTGGAGGGTGTTTTCAAGACAGGCATTTTCTGTGTAGCCTTGGATGTCCTGGAACTCATTCTGTAGACTAGGCTGGTCTCTAACTCATAGAGAACTGCCTACTTATTTCTCCTGAGTACTGAGGTTAAAGGAATGCACCACAATCACTGGGGTCACGGCGATCATTTGTTTTGGGGGTTGATCAAGCTGTCTGTTTTCAAACCCATGTCCCTCCTGTGTTTCTGTCCTCTAAGCTGAGATTCTAAGTATATGTCACAATGCACAGACGTCACCCAATGCCTTGCACAGCTGAGTACACATTTTTACCACAGCAATACACCCCAAGTCCTATCATATTTTGCTTCCCTCTTGTCTTAAACTAATCTGCACATGTTCTTATGAAGTCTCTCCTGAATTTTTAAGGCATTTAGAGATGACTAAGCCACTAATATTTTAGACAAGGCATGGATTTTGTTCATTATCCACAGCATCCAATAAGTTATTCCTGTTCTGTACTTCAGGAGGACCTTAATTGCCTGTCTATCTCATGAGCACTAAACCTGCAGGCTGGGTGTAAGTAATGTAGTGACACTACTTGATGTCCTCATTGCCACTCTATCAACGTCATGCGGCTGCTTTAGGATACTGATTAATTCTGGGCAGAAACACTTTAATTTGGCTTTGTAAATGCTTTCCCACAGCAAAGTATGACTAAGGAAATAAAAATCCTCCACTTGATTTTTCTCAGTCTTCTTATCAGAGATTGTGTTACAATCTGAAGGGAAAGTCCCACAAACTTTATGAATCAAAGTTATCTCTAGAAAGAGCCATAGAAAAGACTTTACACCCAAGCTTGAAACACACCCCCTTCCTGCTGTGTGACTTTTGCTTTTTGGAACAAGTCAAAAATAAGGCAAAGAGATGGGCAGGAAAACAGAGGTATGGCCAGAATAGCTTTACATACTCGAGTTGGTGTTGAACTTGCTGATGTCTCAGTAGAGCTCCATTGGAATCCATTTTGGTCTTTGAAAGGCAAGATGAACCTATCAACCGCTTTCTAATATAAAGAAGAAACACAGACCTCAGGCTGCTCTAGGCCCAGGAAGGAGCTTGTTGTGTACTATGGAGTACGGCATCTTTGACAAAGAGAAGAGGCTTCCATCTTCATGTATAATACATCTTCAGGCGATGAAAACAGACGTGAATGCTGGCTTTTCTTATAAGGGCACAGGAGAGGGGTTGGGAGGGAAGGAGAGAAACTATCAAGAGCTAAAGGAATGATCATCGAAGATAGAGTTAACAAGGCTAGAGTTGAAAAACAAATTCTATGTTGACTCAGATGAAAAGAACTTGGTTCCCTTAAGAAAATATGGAAAGCCTGATTTTCGTTTGTTTTCTCCTCTCATGACCTGAATCTCCACCATGTAGAAGATGCAGGATTTGTCTGCATATATAATGATAAAAGGGATGTTCTAGTGAGAAACGTAACAATCTACATTGTCAGATTATCGGTCAAATGGCCAAAAAGGGGACAAGCAGTACACATACATGCAAATAAGAGATATTATAACTGACAGCTTGAAGACTGCTAGAAATGCTATCGATGAGAGGCTGGGATGATGGCTCAACAGGCAAAGTGCCTCTGGTGCATGCATAAGGCAAGATGGGAAGTGGGGACTGTAGAATACCTAGACTCTCTCTCAGGCCAGCTAGCCTGGGGGATGGAAGTGAGGAGTGACACCTGAAGTTGTCCCCTGACTTCCATGTGTATACAGCAGCAGAAGCATAGACAGTAACATACAACCCTACATGAACACACACACACACACATACACACACACACAGACACATACACACGCACATGCATGCAGGCACGCACGCACCCTTTTTTAAATTAAAAAGAGAAATGCTATTGATATTGATGCTGGCACTGTGGTTCTAGATGGCCTCGTTTGGTGCTGGAGTAGCAGAAAGGCAATGGACAAGAAGGAAGCCCTAATTGAATGTAACCTCAGTATAAGGGACATTTAGAATCTGAGCATTTACATAAATTACTTATTTTTCTCCAGATTCCTACTAACACTGACTTTGCCCTTTAGGAAACAGTTATCAAAGCTCAAACAAAATATGAGGAATCAGGTCAACTCATAGGTGTGAACACAGGCAAGCCGAGGGTAGTAGTTGA